CCCTAGAGCCAGCATTCAGACATAGACTTCTGACCTCCTAGGCTTGTTAAGGAGCCCTGGTGGCTTAGTGGTAAGGAGGTGGGCTGCCAACACAAAGAAACACAGTTCAAATCCACCAGCTAGCTGCTTCATGGGAGAAAGATGGGCAGTCCCCTCCTGTGCAATTAACTACCTCTGAAAACCTGCTGGAGGGGGTTAGGAGTCAGTTCCAATAGTGCACGACAATGTGTGTGTTAAGGCTGTTCATATGTGCTATTTGTTGCAGCAGCACACCCCACGCCCACTGTGTGCCCTCGGAACTTGGTAACTTTGAGGTATCTCTGAAAACTGGAAATATTCTAAAGACTTTATGGAATATTAACCACATGTATTTTTTAAAATTAGTAATCTACCTAATTTGGAAAAGTAAAAAACAAAACTCTTGAGAGCTCTGGTCGCCTTGTAGCAGGAAGCTGCGCTGCAATCCAGAAGGTGCACAGTTCGAATCCACCAGAAGCTCTGCTGGAGGAGGGGCAATTTCCTCCTGTGCCTATCGGATCCAATTCGATGGCACACAACAATAACAAAAATACTAATATACCAATTAAAACACCCCCAAAAACTCTGCTGAATCACCTAGGTTATTAAGAAAGGATGTAACATTAAGCTGTATTTGAAAACTGACTCATTTAATGAAAGGGGAGGGAGGAATGACTGAAAACGACTAATCAGTGTACATTTTAATTTTGTATTCAAGGACACAGTCACCAGGAAAGGTGGGTTCTTTTGTTCTGTCAAATAAATATACTAAAAGCTAGCAAATATCAGCAGAATTAAGCTCCACCTATAAAAGAGATGGAGGAAATCTGTGATTTACAGCTATACAGAATTAACACACTGAAAGGGAAACTAAATCTTGTTAAAGGCTTCATTTCCATTACTTGACATTTCAAATTTTGAAAATATTAAAATTATTGTCAAACAAAACTCAGACCACATTAGCAATGGTTTAAAAAAGGGAGCGATTTAATCATTATAATACAGAGGTGCTTTAAGAAGTTTTTAAACATGTAAAGAAAACTTTAGTGCATTAAATTGTTACAGTCTTTACATTGCTTCTTTAAAAAAAAAAAGTTAACAGTAGTATGAAAAAGCCACCCACAATGCCAGCTGTCCAAGTGAAGCATTTTGGAATTACTAATAAAGCTATAGTTAAAAAAAGGAGAAGTTCATAAAAATGAAAGCAGCATGCATATTCAAGGCTTTTCCATACCATTTCCATTAGCCAACAGACACTTAGGTAAAAACCAAGAGTTTAATATGTATTATTCATTAAATTACATAAAATAAACTGGCCAAGCCCACTACATCTGGTCAGAGGGGGAAAAAAACAACATTTTAAAATCCAAGGCTAATTAAATGGAACATTTCATCTAGAAGAAAGCACATTTTGATATATGGTCCTGTAGTCACAAAGGAAAAGTTCCTTCTCAATAAGAATGAACAGAGCACCGGTCTTGACATGGAAATTGGAAAGAGTGCCCAGACTCCCGCCTGGCTAGTTAACAGTTAACACTCCCATGACTCGTGAGTGGAAAGTGAACTGTTAACTTCTCTTCAGCTCAGAATTTCTTCCCCTCTATCCACTGAAATTTTCATACTAATTTCACTGAAAGATGATTCTTGAAAATTCTGATCTGACACCAGTACAAACATTTCTGATATCCACATGTTTCTTAGAAAAACAAAACAAAAAAAATTAAGCATTAGGTATAGATTCACTGCGTGATTCTTTTTCACATTTTTGGTACATTTCTTTCAGTATGCAAATTCATATGCCGGTTTCTTTTCCTTCTTCGGCACTGATGATCTTTAATCAAATTGAAAAAAGAAAAGCAAATTCACCTTCTCAAAAGTAAAAGAAGTCTTTTAAGTAGGATGTTTTTGGCCTAAGGGCCTGTGTCATCGACAAAATTGTTTTGTCCCAAACTGTGTTACTACTGAATAGGCAGTTTTTCACTTGCAGTGAAATGATGTAAACCCATGCACAACTTTTAGCAGTGCAGGGCTTGGTAAGTAAAGCAGAAATAAATCAGTTTTTACGCTGTAAAATGTTTGGTCACTCAAAGCTAGAAGCTTAATCACGTATCAGAGAACACAGGCAATAGAGCCTATCTTACCACTCAGCCCGTATTAAACTAGACAAAGTTTAAGTGCACAGGCCCCAGTGGTCATTAACCCCTTTTAGAACATCTAAAAATCACATTATTTCCACCATTTCAGAATAAAAATATGCTGTACTAAAAGTTTACAAGGTGGTTTTTAGTGTCTGTTTACACTACAGAACTTCCAGCTGGAGTAGGTTAACTTTGGCACAACATTAAGTTCCATTTCTTTTGGGTACGGAATCCTATTTTTTGAGAGTATGTACGCCCTCAAACATTTTCAGTTTTATCAGCGATTGGGCCCGTTCACAGTAAATCAGACATCTTGGTCTGAAGAAGTGATTCTCCTGCATCACTTTAGGCAGCTTGAAAAGAAACACATAAAAAAAGGAAATTTGGAAAAAAACTATATTTGCATTTTTACAACTTTTAGAAACAAAAATAAATTAGCCATGAAAAGACACCCTGTCTTCTCCTATTACAACTGGGATCATTTGCCACATACATCTTATATAACGCACCCGACTTTTGTTTAAACTCTTAAATACACTTCTGCCTGTATCAGCTTTGCTTCTAGGCATTTGTAATTAATTATTTAGGGGGGAAAATGCTGACATATTTCATTGTCAGTATATGTAACGAACAGATGAAGAAATTTCGCTTTTTTATTCTACTTATAACATAAGGCAGATATATGCAAAAAAACCCTTCATCTCATTTTCTACATTAATTATTTTGAAAAGATTTTGGGTTTGTTTGTTTTTGGTAAAGGTTTTGGTCACAGTTAAATCAATAAATAATCCTTAAGAGAAAACCTATGGCAATTTTTTTTTCAGAAGATGATCCAATCAATAAAATGCTACTGACTGTTCTTTAAAATTTCAGATTTTTGTATATTTAAAAAGCCAGGCATTCCACAAACTGTGGACATTTATGAAGCAGAATTCTGAGAACTGCGGCTTTCTGTGAATTTTCTGACCATAATTAGTACCCATTACAACATTAACTTATAACAAAACAATCATCCATACATACATAAGGTAATGTACAAAAAGTTCACATTATTTTTAGAGGAGCACAACTCCCCACAAAATCACCGCAGAGGTTACTAAAATAACAATAAAAATTCACTGCAGCAACAAATTTGTTGATTTAATCTTGGCTGAGTGCACATTCTTGTGTTTGGTAGTTAAAGAAAAGGCTTTTAAAATATTTTATGCATCTAGGTCAGAAGAACGCTGTCCTGAAACTACTGTCATTAGGAAAGGCAGGGCTTCTCTTTGGGATTAAGCTGTACAAACTGCTTTCTTGTGATTTTCAATGGTTACGTTTTAATCTACAGTAGGGAATGAGATTCATACTGCTTACTAAAATAGGTACATTTTCAGTTTTCACTATGGGGGGGGGGGAAGTTCATTAAAAACAAAACCAGAAAACGTGGGGAAGGTTTGCTAAACCAAGGAATAGTGCCTGGCACATATTAAGCTGTATAAATATTTGTTAAATAAGATAAAATAAATAAAGCCAGGGGATAAGATAGGAAAGAGGCAAGGAAATAGTGCAGGGACTGAAGAAGCACAGAAAAAGGAGGAGGGGTGAAAAAGCCAAGGAATAACATGTGTAAGTGTAAACAGATAATCAGAGGCTCTATGCCTCCTATGCTCCCTTGCTGCTGAGAACACAACAGGAATTTCTAAGAGCAAGACGCAATGGGGATTATTGATCAACACAGAGATTTCATGATAAGTGCATCGTTTTCAAGAAGGGTACTTTTACTTGAGAGCACTCCAACAAAGAGAGTAGAAGGAAACAGATCTGTGCCATCAAATTCCAGAAATACTAAAAATTGCACTTCTGAATTCCAAATGAAGGATGTGATTTGTAGCTACAGGGTTATTTCAATTAATCCCACTGATAAGAACAATTAGGATGTAAGGAACATGCCAAGACCTTTCAAGTTTAAAGCATGTTTACTTCCATTTTGATGACGAGAGATATTTTTAACCAAATGTACTGTTTCTGTTGGTAGCAGTTTGTTTTCTATCAAAGAACAAAAAGGCATTTTAGGCAACTGCAGTGATTTAATATCAAATCTGTTATTTACCTTTTAATTGCAGCATTTGATCTCTAAGATAGAAATAATTTATATCACAGTTTTTAAAAACAGATGCCACCCAAAGCAAACAGGAAATTATATATGGCTTAAAACAGACCTCTCTGGCTTTTCATTGGGGGAAAAAAATTCCAAAAAATTTCAATACCTAAAGTGTTTGAAACTAGTTGAAAATGTGGTAACATAGGGGAGGCAAGTAAACTTTTTGGGTTTGGTAAGTGCTGAAATACAATGGGGGGGGAATACCCATTTTCATCTAATTTCCAACAACCGGGAAATCCTCACCTTTAAGTTTTTTATTCTGCATACGTCCCCCCTTCTCTTTTAGTTTTCATTTTTTAATTATTTCCTTTAAAAGGGAAGGGGAGGGAAGAAGTTTTAGTGAAGCGAAGATAGCAAGAAACACATTTCTGCAAACCCTAGTTTTTCTGGGAGTCTGCTCCCCACACTATACGCCAATCTCCCTTCTTTGAGAAAGGATATCTCGCTCTTAGAACAAAGTAAAACAAATTTCACAGGAAAAAGAACTGAACCAACAAACACTACTGTAAAAACAAGATGGTCCTAAGCGTAATCCTCAGGTGACCCGGGAAGACCACAGATCTGGTGACCATCCTGGTAGCCCCTGGTCCTCTTTGTAGGTAAAAGGAAATTAACTTTAGGAACCATTTTTCCGACGTGACGGTGACACTCAGGAAGGCGAAGGGCTGATGGACGGACCCACTCGGGTGGCCACGACCCTCTCAGTCGTCGGACTTGGACAGCTTCCGCTTGACGTGCCGCGGGGGCTCCCAGGTGTCACTGTCATCGGTCTCCTCATCGTCCTCCTCCTCCTGCTCGTCCAGGCCTTCCTCCGGCTCCTCGTCCTCCTCCTCCTCCTCCTCGAACAGCTCGAGCCCCAGCTCGGCGCGCCGCTGCCGCTCGGCGAACCACTCGCGCACCTGCTCGTAGCCCATGTGCGACCTGTTGACCAGCTCGTCCAGGTCCTGCTCGTTGAGGAACTTGTGCTTCACGTAGTAGTCCTTGAGGATGGCCGTGCCGGTCTTGAACTTGATGAGCGGCAGCGCCCGGTCCCAG